ACCTATCAACATCCCTCCCACTCACTGATCCTCACAAATCCTAGGTTCAAAACTGCTAACCTCTATGTTGTCATCAAACATCTTTATGGTTTAGTCGCCAATTTCCCACCAATCTCAGCTCATCACCAAAACCATCTTTAAGGCATTTCATACAATGGGTGGTATCCCCTTACTCTCTTTACTCATTATTCTGATTCATATTTACTGATTCCCTCTACTTACTTCATATCACATCAACAATACTCTAGATTCAATTGCAAATTATGATTCTATTCAATTTCAACAATGAAATTCTATTGAGAGCATTGGAAGTCTCATCAAATCCCCAAATTCATCTTTCTCAATGTTATATCAATGGATATTGGTACGCAAGATCAATTCAACTTACTCACATTATTGTCTATGGCAGGTCACACTCAGCACTTTGATTCCATTTAGTTCCCATGATTCACAAGTTCTTACACACAATATGCTAGCCTTTAAATTCATTGTCTAACCTCATATGCTGCCCACCTTATATGCTAATGTCATAACTTCTTTCGTCTCTACCATTGTACATTTTGGCATCCGCTACATGTGGACTCTCACTAATGGGCACGTTCTATGCCTCCATAATATGCATTGTGCTTTCCGCGGCTTGCGCACCCTTGCACCCGTGGTCCCCATGCAAGCCAGGCTAGCCAGGATTGTCCTACTGATCCAAGAGCCTGAATCACACCATTTGGCATGGTTCCTATTTTGGCAGGCCCCATGCCTCAGTGCTCTCTCTCGACACCCATTCCATGCTAATTGCCACAAGGGCTTCCACCTTTTCCTAATGAGACTTTGCGTAGGTGCACAATAGACACACTACATTGAAAGTGCAAGTTTTATAATTCTGATGGCCATACGAGCTATGATCGCCAATTTGCCTAACACAGCCGTACCCCCACATCACGGCCTCAACATAATATACCCAAGGACTCAAGACTCTTTTGCATATGCACTTATTGAACTATTCCCAATATTAGAGCACCATCCCATTGAGAGTTGCACAATAAGGGTGCGCCCATTCAGCCAACTTTTTTCCCTTCGAGAAAGTGAATTACACACCCACATCCTCACGATAATCCACCAGTGCGAACGAACCACCCACGTGCAACCACACCTTGATTTGTGATGCCACGACTGCCTCCCATTCTATGTCCAAAGGACAAAGAATGAACAAGAGTGGGGCCCCACCCTACCCCTCCGTGGGATGCAAGGCAGGGCCCTTATCTTTCCAGCCAAATAGATGAGGTTTCTCATGCATGTTATCTACTTTGGTTGCCATCCATGCCTTGTCATGATTAGCCATCCACAACGATCGATCTCCTCATAGACAAATATAAATTTGCCATCAAAATACCAAGCTCCACCTAAAAGTTGGAATAGTGTATACCACTTATGCTTGTAGGTAAAGGCAGAGTGGCCGCGCCGTCCAACTGAGTCTCCACCCCCATGTTTATTTAAACATTATCCTTACCCACTATTGTGGAAGTCCTTGCCCCACCGGCGCTTTCCAAGGAAGAGGAGCCCCGACAAGCCCTACCATTGCCTCACAATGGTAGCGCTGCACTGTCATTGGAATATTGTTGATCTTTGGTACCTAAATAAAAGGAGGTGGAGCTTCAGCCTCCTAAACCAACATACCCATGGGGGTTGCTACAACTATTTCAAATACTATGCGTACTGGTCCCTAGGCTCTCGATGAGTGTCCTCTGCCCAACGATTTCCCTTGCTTGGTGCCTGTGATGCAGCACCTTGCTTGCACGCTCTTATCAATCTGGAACAAGTCTTCTAGGAGCTGATTCAAATGATCATATGGTTGCCGAGGTTGCCATGACGCATTATTGTACTTCCTCCGTCCAAGATTAATTGTCCTCTATGACTTTTCCGCCCTACATCTCCATCACATATACATCATTTTTAAATAAAATTTTTTCAAGTGGTACGCCTATGTTTCTGGAATATACGGTCAAAATTTCAGGTCAATCCGTTTAATATTGAGGCTTTGGCAGCACTTTGTAGTAGGGTCCTCCCGCCAGAAACCCACCCGTTTTTCAACAAAGTCACCGAAACAGCCGTTTTCGCGATGGTGAGGAGCACGACTTTGCGGCGGCCAAACAAGACCGCCCATGCAAAACTATCCATGCCATTTGGACAGAAGCTTGGAGGGGTCCCTGCGAACAAGCAAAGCGGCAGAAAACGTGTCTTGGTGGGTTTGATCGTGGAAGTCGCCGTGGCTTCGCTGACCTAATTCGAGATCGATTGGCCAATTCGGGGTTGCATTCTCGGCCCAGATTTCTGGGCCGTAACCTTTTGAACTCCATCACTGCTGTGAGAGATACCGCACAAGGCCTCCTAAGCCCCTTGGAGAGGTGCGAAGGAATGTGATGGCCATCACCCTGATCTATGGCGGACGATTGGGGGAATGGCTTGGATTGGGGGATGGCAAAGTCGACCCTTGCTGCGACAATTGAAAGGTGGAACGCGATGCGAACGGTGAGATAGTTCATATTGTGTCTCTCTGACAAGTAGAGACTATGTAGATTGGGAAGGGTTGCGGACTGCATGCACAAGTTGGCCGCTAGTGCCAATTTTGGGAGTGTGGGCCCAGCCACACACGAAGGCCTCGATTCAAAGATCAATCGAGGTGCTATGTTAGAGAAAAGTTGTAGCATAGCCTTAGAACGATAGCACGCACAGAGCCCAAGCTTGAGCGTGCTGGGCGTTTGCCTTTTTCGCTTGTGGCAAGTCCTTGCATCGGAGATCCGGGAGGGCAGCGATTTCTGCCATCGTCGATGCTGTGACAACAGGCTTGTTCAATGGGGATCCAAACACAGTGGAGCGTGTTTGGCAAACGCTAAACCACGAGAGGGACGCTGCCCTTCGCCGCGATGGCAATCACAACTTTGGTTTGGCATGCCTGGGGCGGGAACGACCCAGAACCACGTGAATCTCCGATGGACGCGGAATAAGAATGCACAATTTTGGACCAAATCATAGGCGATTTCAGGGGGCCGCCAAAGGTAGTGGGGTTAGATATTTTTTCGCAAAAATTGGTAGTCAAGGGTTTTGGGACCCAGTCTTTTCGATTCTGACCTTTATTAGTACTTTTGAAGCGGTTCAGGTAACGAAATTTATCTTTTAAATAGAGGACAATTAATCTTGGACGGAGGAAGTATATGGCATCCTTTGCAACATGGCGGATTGTACAGAAAAAATCATGTGTGTGCATTAGTACGTCATGTGGTATTCATTGGTGTGAGGGCGCCCCTCCAGTTCGTTATGTCGGCCAGTGACATAACTCAGAACACACGACGGCCTGTTGTGCCATTCCTTTAATATGTTTACACTAATATTCAACACATACCGATCCTATGATGGTCCTAACAGGTGAGGGTATGTGTTTGGGCTTCTCACTGATCGACTTAAATTCAAATGTCAACCTTATCTTAATGTCAAAACAAGATATTGAGCGTATTTCCTACCTTTTAAGAGAGGGCAATTCTGTCCTAACACCTACTATCAAAGGGGCTCGTTTTTTGATGAATGTCGGCAGTTTATAATAGCCAGATATCCACAAAGCCCAGACGCGTGTGCCATGTTTCTATCAAGATCGTTGTGTTTCATTTCCGATGGCAACTTTCAATATGCATTCCCAGAGCTGGGCAGGTGGGGAGTCAACGTATAGGGTGCTCTGCGATTTTTATGGGGACCTTGGTAAACGTCTCTATTGCCTCTTAATCACCTAATGAAGCACCCGTCAGTGAATCGCAGCTGCAAAGGCGTGCATATCCTTTCACCATTATGTTCCATGCCATAAAACCAGCCATACTTATAATAATGGGCGGGATGAGCATCCAATCTCAATAGCAAATTAGTTCCAGGCCGGTCACTTCTGGTATTTTGAAGATCTTTTATAATGGTTTAGTCATATGATGTAGAAAGACAATTCTTGGTTGTTGCACGCCTCCCACACTCTCCTTACCCGAATTGGCTGCAGAGTTGTCTAGTACCATAGCTTTCTCGAGGGCAGTCAATCACGGATTGTCCAGATTACAGCAAATCAACACCTCTATCCTAGCTCAGCTTTTGCAGCTTGTACATACACAGCCTCACATCAACATTCGTTTACACATAATGTCAATTTCTCCTCCACACGAGCCATACCCAATTATCCCATTCCATCATCTCCTTGTTAACCGTGCATGCCAAACACACCATAACTCAGTACAGTGCTTTCCTTCTTAGCTCGCATTGACCACCCCAGCTATGATCATAACTTTTCTCGCAGCTACTTGCTTTTGGCTTTCTTCGAGTTTGGGCCTCCACATCCTTCTCCTAGCAGAAGCTCCATGCTCAGACGCCCGATGATTCCGTTTACGATTCTAACATTCCACACAACAGAATCGACATTAACTTCACCTTTTTCAGTCACGCCCAACTATCCATCCCTTCCTTATTATTTGTGCATTAACTTGATAATCAGATTCCACTCCAGTCAAACGCCCAATCGGTCAGTAAGACGCATTATATTTTAATATTGGTCATCATATTTAACACTTGCCAAATACGACACACTCATCTGGACGTCATGCTCCTCATGCTTCCCACTCCCCGGGTGTCACGCATGAATTATACCCATAAATTGGATTAGCTCAAAACCCTCAAATCCCCTGCCCCTCATTGAGCGGGAACAACAGCACATTCTGAATGGCCACATGAGTTCGGAATCCCGCAAGTGCACCTGCGCGCGGTTGTCTGGTTCACCCATCCCAGGGCGCTTGATTTTATTGCGGATTGCAGGTGACGTACGAATGACAGCACAACATCCACTCCGTTTCTTGCCGAAACAGTCATTCACTCCGGGCCCGCATCATGCTTCCTGCTTCAGACCCCAACCCCACCCCACCACCCACCCACACCCACGCACACAAACACACTCATACATGGACACGTGCTTCCCATCGTTTGCACTACGAAAACAGCTGGCTCAAGACCTCCGGCGCGATGCCTCCTGCGCAGCCCTCCTCCGGGCACTGCAGCAGGTGCTCCATCCCCCTCGACTCCAGGCACCGGCACACCATGTCGGCCGGCACCTCTCCTGCCGCGCTCACCCTCCTCCGCTCCGCGCCCATCCCCAGCAGCAGCCTTGCCGATCCCACGTTCCCAAAACTCGCTGCCCACATCAGCGGCGTCGTCCCGTCGCCGGAAGCCGCGTCCACCTCCGCGCCCGCCTGGACCAACCTCCTGGCAATCCTCACGCTGCGCCTGCCCAAAGTAACGGTCGACAGATGCAGCGCGGTGTTTCCCAGAGCGTCCGCGTGCCGCGCATCCGCGCCGGCGTCGAGGAGCGCTGACACAATAGCTGGTCGGCCGACTTCCGCCGCCACCTCCAGGGCCGTGAACGACATCCGATCGGGCTTGTTGACATCCGCGCCTGCTCGGATGAGCTCGGAGACCACCCCCAGGTGGCCGTTCTGGGACGCCCAGAAAGTGGCGGGGGAATCCGTGACCAGGTCGGAGGCGTCTGGGTCCGATCCCGCGGCCAGGAGGTACTGCACGCAGCGTGCGTGGCCGCGAGCGGCGGCGATCAGCAGCGGGGTGTCGCCGTAGGCGCCCATCCGCGTGGCGACGTGCGCGCCGTCCATGAGGGCCTCCACCACGCCGCCCAAGTGACCCTTAGAGGCGGAGTCCCAAAGCGTCTGCGGCGAGAGCAAACAGGAGGGTGTGAACGGCAGGGCATTGACTTGCACGACAGCCGCGAACGGGTTTCTGGAGGCTCAGTAGTTGAATGGACTTCGCCTGTCCGTTTGCGCGACGGCAGCGCTGTGCCTCGGGTTGAACTGTTGTCTGCGGGAGAGGACGGATCATGGGGATCATGGGGATCATGGGGACATGGGGGCATGGGGACATGGGGACGTGGGGGTGTTCATTGACATTTTCATGATCAAATGTGGTGGCAAGAACACATCCGCATAATGAAAACCAATTATCTAATAAATCAGACAACGCACGAGCTGCATTATTGTAACGCCATGCATTGGAGAACAAATACATGTGCATGACTGGCGGCACCCATTTGTCTCCCAATGCTGGTGATACATAAATAGTTCGTTTTCCAGGAGATGGTAGATGACGACTTTTATACCAGTCTATTTCTTCCTCCTTGAATTCTCCATAACCAAGCAGCAGGGCTCAAGACGATGGAGAGTTGCCCCGCTCAATGACAGTGTCCAAACAAATTGCTTCCGATCATCGAGGCTGTCCATGCCTGTGCGTGCACACGGCACACGTGCTGTGCTCCAGACGAAATGAGATAGGCATCTGCTCTTATCCCATTTTACCAAGTTTTCCCATCATTTCCAGGTGTATCAAAGCTCCAATGAACCAGCACTGTTGTCAACACAGTGAGTTTTTCCCTGCAACTTGAATATTGGGGCTCGCACTTCAAGAATGCAGCAACACAAACAAATTAATGAAATAGAAAAATGAAACAAGAATTCGCGATCTGAAGAATAGGCGGCTGATGGCACTGGAAAATGATGTCGTAGCGGCCACAGAGGCCCTTCTTGCTCGCAGTGCAGTGCCACACGGCAGTTAACCTCTGTCGAATATCGATGTCGGGAGGGACATGACTGAAAATGCAATGATCGACTAAATAGCCGCGGTGTGCAGAATTTATCGAAGTATTTTGCAGCAATCTGCCATGGGAAAACAGTGAAGCACACATGCAGAGAGATTCCGTTGTGCGGCAATGATTTTCATTGCAATTATGGTGGTGATTTGCAAGTCTGCATTTGTGATTGCTGTCTTTGCTCTCTTTCTGTACCTGGTTCACATAAGAGCTGCAATAAGTATCACGCGCGTGATCTTGGTGGCCACGAGTCAATCAATTCTCCATGAGGCAATTCACTCAATACAGACATTCAATCAGTACAACTGCTGCAACCAGTAAGTAAATGTAGCTGATAAGTTGTTGACATGGTCGCGAGACTACGTGAAAGTGAGTGAACGTAACTAGCACTCACTGGCAGACAAATGAAACATTAAAAGCTTTCAATGAAGGAAAATTGTGCCAAACTGTCGATGTTCGACTCAATTCCTACATGATTTGGTGTCACCGGCGCTTCGGCAATCTCATGGCCTTCCATCACGTGCGTATGCTCAGTGAACTGCAGTGGCCTTCGCGAGTAGATGACACCTGGAGGAGGGCAAACAGGTGGCAAATGAAAATTTCCTTCTTCTTGGTCCATCTTGAGGAAATGAAAGCCCACACGTCAGACGCCGAAGTTTGTTCAAAAATCCTATACTCCATCATAGTTGCACAAAAGATATAGGCTGACAGGCAGCAGTCGAACAATCGTTCTTGAGCGCTGCGTGCAGGTCTGACTTCGAAAAAAAAACACCTGATGCAGCGATTCGGGGGTTTTTCAATGACCTTGTGGACTCGATGCCGAATCTCTACAATGCCCATAGGATGCGTATAAAGTTAAGCTCGCACAACGTGGCAAAGATGGACCATGAGCAATTAATATGATCGCCATGTCCACTGGTGCCATTAAAATATTGTAGAGTTTGGGTTTGCCAAAAGTGTTTGAAATATCGGAGCATGATGCTTATTCCACAATCCCATTTTATGTGTTCTCGTTGCTATTGTAACATTCTATTCAGAGACTGATTATTTATATTGCATGTTTTCCAGAGCTGCGATAGGTAGACACGTAATGAACTCTATCGCCACCTTCGGTTTCCGTATCGATCTCAAGAATTGTGAGCAGTGTCAAGCAGCATTTCTTGAAGGAAACAATAAAAGTATCCTTTACTCGAATCCCCTACCTTCTGCCATCCCTTCGTAGCCTATTGGATTGTCTTTGTTGTCGACGGGACGTGGCCTTGATATCTGTAAGGATGTTTTCGCATCCCCGATGGTTGCAACCCACCGCACAGGCTCTCCACTGGAGAAATGAAAACAGGTGACACTTGTCAGAGTACGTATGCTGCGGACGCGCCATTAGATTGATGTTTATGGCAATGCACGTGTACATGCATATGAATATGGTTACCTGTGGGCAGCAATGCAGCACACCTCACATGCAACCCGACATGCGCCCATATGGCCGTGGTGTGTTGTGGCTTTTGGCAATCAAATTTGGCCCTTGCACATAAGCGTAACGTAAAATTTTGGGGCTGCCTCTGGAAACCCGAAAATGGCATGGACGCGATGATTCTTCACTGGAACAGAATTATCTGCAATGGAGGAGTGGTTTGTCAGAATCCTCGAGGAGACGCATTTTAGTACGGAGCAAAGGTACAATGATTAATTCCTAAGGAATAATGACACTAAATTCAGCACAGTTTGGCCACGCACACGGCCTGTGTCCGGTGTTACGCTGAAGACAGGCTGCAAAGGCCGTTTCAGGCACACATAGCCGCCGCAGGTGTAGCCGTGCGCCGGTGCGTTTGCGGGTGTCAGGATTCAAGGACCATCACATAAAGGGGGCCCTCCTAAGGGGGCGACATTTCGTATGAATCAACGTGATATCACGGGCCATCGATGGCCAGCTGTCGAGGGGCGACATCCACCAAGCCACGCGCCCCGTGTCCCTCCCTCACTGCGCCGCGAGGGATTGGGGCCATTGGCGAGATCTCTTCCAGTCCAAGTGCCCAGCTGCATTCCGCCCGCAATACATTCAGCCCAAACCCACCCACAATCACGCAGCCAATGTTTTGCGGGCACTGCCCATAGCCGCCCGGCCTGTCGCCCGTCGTATTGAGCGCTTAAGCGGCTCAGTGATGCGCCGTCATGGCTCGTCACGCTCAGTCGTGGCTCAGTCAATGCGAGAGCGCAACGTGACTGGACGCCCCTCTAGGGGCGTCCAGTCAGCGGACTGGACTGGACTGACGTTGCGTGCAGGTGCCTATGGGTCAGGTCCGCCGCGGGGAAGAGGCAGGCAGCGGCCGAGCAATCGTACAACACGGCGCACCTCGAGGAGGCGCACGCGGTCAGCGCCAAGAGGCACAGCGCCCAGCGCGGGACCATGGGGCAGGCTGCCGCGTCGCCTCCCGATCTACCGGAGGTCTCAATCGAGATGCGTGGCCGCTGACGCGCGGTGGTGGCGATCAGATGGCGCGGCTCCTCGTTTCGCGCCGTGCTCGAGGCTTCCGACGGGTCTACTGCGCTGCGGACAGGACAAATGAAATCTCAGAAGATCCGTCACATGAGCAGTGATTGAGGAGGCGCGGGCGCGTTCCCGCGCCCGCACACGGGGCGATGCAGACGGGCGGCTTTGGCGGAGCGAACTCGGGTCGCCATGCCGGGTTCAAGGCGGTCGCGGCAGCGCGGAGAGTCGACACGCCGCGGCCGATCCCGCCATCGCCACAATTTTCCTTCCCCAATGCGTATCTCTGGATCCCGACGGGAACTGTGTTTGACGAGCGGAAGGCCGTTCGGACGCCGCGTGAGTATGGCCTTTGGTTGCCGCCGCATTCGACCGACCATCCGGCAGCAATGGGTAATCGGAGCAACCGGAGCTGGTGCGCAAGGGTATGGGGAACGGGGATGCATCCACGGGGTAGCGTGGCGGCGAGAACGCAGCCCCGCGGAGCAGCCAAACGCACCGGTTTCGCTGCCAAAGGCGTCGGAGGCGGGCCTAGCTATGCGCGTGGGCGGGGGGCTGCGTCTGTAGCAAAGGCCCCTGGCGCTCGTGCCGGGGCGGCCAACCTAATATAGGTGAATTGCGGTGACGTCCCATGGCTCCGCGCCAACGTCCCAACCGTCGACAGGGGCCAAAAAACGAGACGGGGGCCTGCGGTGGCGGACACCGGGGGTGTTGCGGTGCGTATAGTTGGTAGGTGAGCGCCAACGTTGGGCGTCAACATGAGATGTCGTGTCAATGATGCTATACATTCATTCTTTAGATCAAGCGGCGATACACGGCAACAGACGGACGAAATGTTGGTGTCATTGCTGGTCGTTTGCTGGATAAGCCAATGTACCGCGTTTGTACCGCACGGCGTGCAGTGCACGAGCGCACGCAAATGAGCAGTGTGATGTGATTGGAGGGCGCTAACCACTCAAGTGACCACTCGCCGGCGCTGGCGGCCGTCCTCGTCTAACACATCCTTCTCTATAATTACAGACTACTCTAATTGTCAATGGATGTGGCTGCACGCAGCCCTGGGACGATGAACACGTCGCGGGTCTAGTCTGCGACTGGAACCTGCACATGAGATCCAGCAGTAGCGGAAAGCACCAATTTCAACTGCGGTGCCAATTTGACAGCATTCGCAGTGATGCCATGGCATCAATGCAACCGTGATGGCACCAACCAGTGTCAACTGCCATTTGTGTCGGCTTCGCAAAAAGTGTTTTCCACTGGTGCACGGGGGTGAGGCCTAGAGTTTTAAGGACCAAACCATGGTTGATGCAGTGGGACTGACACGATAGGCTGAAAAGAACGTTGGTGTTTACGAAGGGCAAAGGAAAATACATTAACAAGGATCGGGCTCGGCAAAAATTTTACCAAGGGAGCAAAGGAGGTGTTTTGATAAACAAAAAACATAATGTTTTTTGGTTTTAGTACGCTTACCGTCAAATTCACATTGAAAGGGGGTGCGGTGGGAGGGCGGAGGGCATTGATGCTGAGGGATTGCATAATACCATGAAACCAAAATGAAGTGGAAAATGCGCGAAAATGCCCCTGATCAGCGGCAAAGACCTCATGACTGGCTGCAAAACTTCCCTCAAACCGTCAACCCTCCAGGTAGTTCTGAGAATGGACCAGTTTCCAGGCTTTTGGGCCTCTGTCATCGCCCATCATCGCTTTTGGCATCCCATTTTTAAATCACTGCAATCGCTACAGTTTGGCTGTTTCTTCCTTGAAAACTGTTTTGAAGTTGCATGACATTGTTAGATAATGCTGCTGAGTGACAATGGCATAGAAATAAGGACTGCGCTAGCGCTTAGCGTGGGGTGGGGTGGGGTGGGGTGGGGTGGGGTGGGGTGGGTGGGGGTTTTCTGAGCCTAACGCCAATTTGATGTTAAACGTATAAAAATCAGAATACTGCGTTCCCTAAGTCAGAACCGGAGGCCGAGGCAAAGCGCTGGAGCACGGGCAGTTTAGGGCTTTGTCTTCAAGCGACCAGGTTATTTGTATGGAGGGTAACGTGCAGCGCGCCCGTTAAATATACAGCAATGACGCAGCTTCATTTAGGTTGCAAGGGTTTTATGTGCAAATGCGCAAAATGCAAGCTTTGCAGTGTTATTGATGGTAAATTGCGAAATACAAGACGCATACATTTAAGAAACATATACTTGCTTCGTCGAAGATTAATTGACATCTATGATTTTAGGGCATTACTTATCCCTCGTACCGGCATCAATTTTCAATCGAATTTCACTCCAAGTTGTGCTTGTAAGCTTGGAATATATTTTCGAAATTTCAATTCAATCCATTAAGTATTGGTAATTTGTCAGTACTTGGCATCATGCCATTATTGCCTAATAAACCTCGATATCTGGGGTCAAAAATGATCAAAACCTACCTTTCGCCGAACGCTCAAAAATGCCGTATTTCACTTTTCTTCTTGAAATCGGTATTTAAGTGTTTTGGAGTTTGATATGTACCATTTTCATATTACTTCCACTAGGAAAAAAAGGGCCAAATAACACTTTTGCGAACACACATAAAACACATTTCATCAACGTTCTGCACGCTAAGAACACAAAAATAACACAAACCCGTAGACTTTGTACACGTTTGAACACGTGTTATTTGGCCCTTTTTTTCCTAGTGTTCGTAGTTCTCAGGCCGTCCTTGTAATGAATTTGACTTTCAAATAGACCAAATTAATCTTGGACAGAGGAAATACAAGTGTAGGGTATTTGCATATGGATAAGCGTTTGGGATATATTTTAGCGGTAAATGGAGCAACTAGACATTGACATATTTCCAAAGAGGTATATTGAGATAGCCATTTAATTTTGCATTGTCTGAGTCAGACTCAAGTCAGACTTGAGTTTTGGGTTTCAGGCACGAGTGAAAGCTAACAACAGATTATGCACAACCTGCTCCACTGCATTGGCTTCGAATTTGGCCGATCAGTACCCAGCGTTTTATAGCCAAACGGACCCACTAACAGGAGCAGACCTCAGTGCGCTGCCGCATGTTATAAGTGGAATATAACATGAATGATTTGTGGTCAGACAAACCTGGCGTAAAGTACGGAATCGCGAAACTCCACTCCTGTGATCAGAGCGATTGCCGAAAAAATATAGCGGCTGGGTGGTAAACCCCGATAGCTTGCACGTTGTGACGCAAGCACCAGTGAATATTTTTGCATGTAAGGATTCGTGAGTGAGTTGAACCCCATGAACCCCATGGAGTTCTTTCAGCCCAATGATCAAAAGCCTTCATTCCTACGACCACTTACTGGCTTGCCATATCCTGAAACGCTCCAGGTCCTGCGAGTCCAGCACTGACATCACATCGGCATCTAGTTGGACAACAACGCAGTGGAACAACCATCGTCCTCCATGGAGAGCCCTCCATGGGTGGCCACCCATTCATTGGTAATGGATGTCCATTTCGCAAGTGCTACGATGGTTTTCAACTCGGGATCAAGTGCCATTGTGATCAAAAATTTGTTGTCTAACATGGGATCAAATGTTGTTGGACCCACTGGCGCCATTTCCTAGGAAAAAACAGGCCAGATGACACAGTCCTGACACGGTCTGCTCAAAATCCAACCGTGTACTTTCGGCAAGTGTGGTCCCAAAAGTACACAGTTAGTACACACATTGACACAGTTTCAACCGTGTACCCTTACACAACTGTGTATACTACACGGTTTCCTATGATGCACGGTTGAAACTGTGCCAATGTGTGTAACAAATGTGTACTTTTGGGACCACATTTGCCGAAAATACACGGTTGGATTTTGAGCAAACCGTGTGAGGACTGTGTCATATGGCCAGTTTTTAACTAGTGATACGTCATATTTTCACGTCCTGCTTACAACAACAATGCTCCCTGATACGATTGATCCCCAGCGTGGTGTACCGAGAACCGATTTTGCGCATACTTATACTTGCAATTGGACAGCTCACATGTGCGTCCCAGCAGCAATATACGTTATGCGTTGAGCTTTGTCATTATAACCTAGGTTGTTGGGCACAAGCAACAAGGCTGTTCCAGCTTGAGTCTATCCCGGCTGTTGATTGGACAGTTCATGCGCCTCGCAGCAAATGCTTGCCCCTGAAGAGCCCTGATGGTGACGTCATTTCTACGATTATGCAATTCCATATTTCTGACTGTTCGATCTTCAACGGCGATACGATGCTCTGTTATGCTGCATGAACATGATGCAAAAGAGGCTTGTGAAACTCGTTTAACACCAGGAAAAAAGGGCCACATACCACGTGTTCAAACGTGTGCAAAATTTACGGTTTTGGGCTGTTTTCTTATTCTTGGCATGCAGAATACTGATCGAATGCATGTGTGTGTTTCTGCGAAAATTGCTATCTGATCCCTTTTTTGCTAATGCAATAACAGCTCCAAACCGGCCCATCCTTTGCGATGAACTCTTTGACAACGAACTGGCAAGCTCCAAAACTGCCCATCCTTTGCGATTAATTATTTGACGGCAAATTGGCAATTCAAGCCATTAGCAACATGGTTGAGGCACTTGTGCTTGAACATGAGAAACTTCGTCGAGCAAGCTCGCCATTGAGCGACAATGCGGACCCTTATATCTTGCACGCGATGGCATGCATGCACCCACCCCAAAAGCTTTTCTATCACTTATTCTTCCACGTGTCCGCAATTACATGTCTGTCACACATGGATACGGTGTTTGTCTCTTTGCTGCTCGTTGGACAAGCACCACTGGAAGACCGGCGGCAAATTTTGAGCTGGACGGCAGGTTTGTTATTTGCGTAAACGCTTACCCTAAAAAGGTGCTATTGTTACGGCTGTATTTACGCTTTTGCAGCTCGTTGGGACACCTGAGCATTCGCAACACAACGTCCACCTGGCTCTCGGCAAACGCAATGACGTCGTCAAACAAAGTTGGTTTTCCGCCCACTCCAGTTCGCCTGTCCTCTACTCCCCGGGCTCCATAAGTCTATACGTATTTTCTTTATGTACATGGGCGGGTATTTGCGTTGTGTTTTCGTAATTTTTGCGCGTTTTTGTGTGCAAAACCGTAGGACAATTTACACGTAAAAGAGTAAATATGATCTGTGTATATATAGCATAAATAACAAGCCTGCTGGAAGGCTTATATGGATGCTAAACATCTAGCTGTTTCCGTGGGAATCAGGTTTGTTGATTACATTTACATTTTTATGCGTAAAAAGGTAACTTTGCAAACGAAGCTATTTTTGCGGCTGTTTTTACGTTCTTGTGGCTCGCTGTGACACAAAGGTTACACGATGGAAGTTGCGCACAACGATCAGTACTCCCCTGCCTTCAGCGCCCACAACACAGCGTCCACTTCCCACTCGGCAAGGTCCACCATGGAGTGCAACAAAATTCGTTTTCTACCCATTCCAGAGCGTTTGGAAGCCATTCCCCGGAGTACCGAAGGCTGTGTGCACCGTCTTTATAAACACGGGGAAGCATTTACGCATTTTACGCGTTTTTATGTGTAAAAATGTAAAATCTATTGTTACGCGTTAAAATTGAAATACGATTGTTGTTTACGGCGTAAACAACAAGCCTGCTAGGAATAACAGTTTTAGATGCAACCTGACCGTCAGGCGCCCATGGGACTGTTGGATGGGGTGCATCAAAACAATATCTACGGAATCTGCGAAGGTTGCAGCCGGAATGCTGCCATGGAAGCGTACTTTGCTGCAGTATTCATTTTGCTGCCTGTGATTTTCTTCTGTATTGCTAGTGGGGATAGTTATTACTGGGATGGCAACCAAGTTGGGTTTTGCACGGTACGACTTTCTATCGCAAGAAATAGAATGTGGGTTTCTTTGCTGTGGTTTAATGCAACGAATTGTCTTGCTGGAATTTTGACGTCCATCCTTGTTCCGGAAGGGGCCATTTATTCGCCATGACGAGAACTGAGAATGCGCAAAATCCATGTGGGTTGCCTCCTTTCACTGCCCAATTGTCGTTGTCTCACATGTCGTTCTACTTTTGCTGACAAATGCACCTTTCCGCCCAATCCCTGTGGCCGGGCGAGAAACCGTTCTTGGCGGCGGCAGCCCAATGTTCTTTGCCCTCGCGGCTTTTCACTTGGCTGCCAGTATTCACAAACCCTAGGGTGGTCAACGTCAATCGCTGACCAACGTCAATCACCTGCCCGCCCTTCAACCATTTGGACTCAAGGCAAACGGGGACAGAGACTCAGTCTGTCCAGCCGCCAACTAACCAATCGATCGACGCACGAGTAAAAGACTACGGAAGGGCCCCTCGTACTCAGTCCCCGTACTTGCGCCCCACGTATCCATGAACGGTGGTCCTTCCCCCTGCCGACGAATCGCTGACCACCAGCCACTCCCACATGACCTGTTCGGAGAGGCCACCTTATTTTGCCGGAGCCTCGATGTCCGTCCAGAGGACCAAGTCGTCCTCAACACCAACGGAAGTGAATTACTCCGCAGGGTGGTTGATGTGCGCTGTTGATGGGCAGGACATCCACAACCGGGCACGTGTGTGCGTGCCCCGTGTGGGGCTAGGCCGCAAGCCCACTCCAGTACATCCCGTCAACCGGCGCCAATCCGGCGGATGCCCTCCCATGTCGGGCCGGTGCGCCTTACGTGGCCGGCCCAGGTACAGCGCGAAACAGCCACCCGGCCGAAAGGGGCTTCAGGCGCCTGCCCCTGGCCCCAGGCGTGTTGGCGGAGCGAAAAGAGGGCGGGCGGCGCCTGAGGTCGACCCCCCCGGCGCTGCCGACAGCCATCCCCTCCCCGAGGCGCCCGCCGGAGGATCTCGCCAATCGGGCGACGGTGGGCGGGTCGGCATGGCGTCGGGCCTGAGCCGCGCCGAGTTGGACAACATCACCGATGAGGTTCTGGCAGCGATCGGCTTCAGCCCCGGTCGGGGGCCCGTGGAGCAGCAGAACAGCGACTCGGACGCGGAGATGATATCCGACACGGACGCCTTCTTCGTGCTGTTCAGCGGCTACCTGGTGTTCTTCATGCAATGCGGATTCTGCATGGTGCGGGGAACGGCGAGAGGGGAGGGGAGCGCTTTTGGACGGGTGGCACTGGGCGGGGAGTGCGGAATGGGGGCGGGGTTGGGATCGGTGTTGGTGATGGGCTGGAGAGGGGCGCGATTGCTCGTAAAGGTCCGTCGCCCGCGCGCATTGGCGCCAATGGGACTCACGAGAGACATTCCGCGCATGGCGCTCGGGGACGGGCCGGCCGCGTCGCCGCGGTGGCGATGACCGCGATCCTGTTGTCCGGGCGAGCGGCTTCGAGGGGCAGCATATCCGACCCCGACCCGTCCCAACTGATCGCTGAAGGTCGCCGCCCGCCGACGCCCGTTCGCTCGCGCGCGTTTGCCTCGTCCGGCCGCACGTTCTCCGCCCGGCGCGCTGCGTCGGAGCGCACCAGCGTTTTTTTCCCTCCCCCGGCGCCTGACCCGGTCTTGCCCCGCCGACCGCCGCAGCTTTGCGCGGGCTCTGTGCGCGCAAAGAACTCGAAGAACATCATCCTGAAGACGCTGCTGGACACGTGCTTCGGCGCGCTGGGTTGGTACCTCCTGGGGTACGGCCTGGCCTTCGGCCACCGGTCCAACGACTTCCTGGGCATCACCAACTTCGCCCTGCACGACGTGTCGGCATCGAAGTACCACACATGGCTCTTCCAATATGCGGTGAGCACCCCCTTCCCCTGGTTCGCTCGCCAATGCGCCTTCTCGACCTGTCCTACGATCCGCCTCCGAGTTTTGGATCCGTTCCTGCCCCGGTTTGGATGGCTCAGGCCAGCCATTCCAGCCAGCAATGGCGCCATGCGCGCGATCTTCCTCGATCTCTGGCAGGCAACAGACGGAGAGGAAAATTGTGCGGAGCGGTTGCGTGAAACTTTCGGAACTGCGACAAGCAGCGTCGCCCAATACGATGGGCACGCTCCCTGGCCTGACACGCTTGTGAAGCTCGGTTCTGGCGTTGCCGCTCTCCCTCCCATCTCCTTTCCTTTTTTCAATGCGTGCCGCCAGTGTGCGCTGACTCACAGCCTCCCGCGCCGCCTTGTTTTTTCCGTGCAGTTCGCGGCGACGGCCACCACGGTCGTCTCGGGGGCCGTCGCGGAGCGCACGAAGTTCGGCGCCTACATGCTCTACGCCGCCTTCCTCACCGCGTGGGTGTACCCCGTCATCGTGCACTGGGTGTGGGCGCCCGAGGGCTGGTTCACCGCCCACAAGACATACAAGTCGGCGCTGTTCAACGGTGAGAGGGGGGTGGGTGGGCTTCGGAGGGCCTTATGTGGCTCAGAGCCTTTTTGCGTTGGAACCTCGGCTCTGCTCAGGCTGAGTTAAGTCGCCATTATCCACTTCTGGCGGGCTTTTTTGTGTGTGTGTATGTGGGTGGGGTGGGTGGGGTGGGGGGACGCAATGCCCACCTGCAGGACAGTCTGCGGTGTTGGGGTGGTTTTCTGCATCATGCCCGCGCATAACGTTGTGCAAGTCGGCGTAACGTTGTTGCAACATCGACGATAAGCATTGGCGCAACTCACCAATTCTTGGGTGGAAGTGGGACCGTGGTGGATGGCAAGTCCGGGTGTGCATTATCCGCAATGCACAATGGAGCAGTGCCGTTGCAAGTGCTGCAAGTACTTTGTGGACAAGTACACCACCCGCATGCAAGCAGGCGGCACAATACCTTAATGACTGGGCCTTGCAACACTCTCATGCAAACGGCTGCCAATTCCACGAAACATTGGTCCCGCAGTGGGCCTTGAATTTGGACAGGGCCCAATAAGTTTTCTTTGCATGTGCCACTGACATGACGTTGAATTGTCGAACCATTACATACAACAATAACCAGCCCTATGGATCAGGCTCACAATTCACGGAAACAAGCGTGTAGCCCCGATTGGAAGGTGGACCCTGCAGTTCTTTATGAGAATCGAAGTCCGGCGGCTAGTCCCCCCCGATGGTGCCATGCGGGGCCCGGGGTCCGTGATGGGGTGCACACAGGGGGAGTGAATGCATTGCGAATGCACTTCCTGAAAAGAAAGAACACAGTGCAAACAGCTGGGCGACTTGAATAGTCATCAGTGAGGAGGCACAGGATGCACACTGTGTCAAATGTCCATGTCAAGTCAGCTGTGGTCAAGGTGTATGGCTCAGCCAAGAGTCTTTATCTCCCAACTATGTGTGCTCCGAGTACCTCGTCCTAGTCTTGCACAACACATATAATTACGCCCAGTGCTACCCTGGCACCACAATGTGCAGTCAAGATGGGTCCCAAGTACTTACCCACAATGAAATAAACATGGGTTGAGTGGCAGGCGGTTCATCCTTCAGCACAAGATGCCGATCCATTGTCTAGTCCAAAGAAAGGATAGTTGCCGCGCCCCAAGAGGGAGAGAGTGGGGGCAGGCTTAAACCTGGCATGTTATGGATGCCACGACCATAATTCATAGGGCGGTTTCTGCCTTTGCAGAATATTGATTGTTGGCTGCCTTAAGGTCAACCTTCTTCTGTGTCTGTGACTTGCACAGGCAGGAATTGACAGATACTAGTTGACTGTAGCTTGCAAAAGGAATTCATACGAAGCCAGAGAGGACAGCAGGATGCACAACTCCCTCACATCCATAGTAGAAATGTCGCCTAGTTGCTAGCCGTCAACATGACTCAGGTTTTTGCTTTGGCCATTTCAAATTTTATGCCACCCCTCCTGTTTCTGTGCATAATGAGTCCTGCATGACAGCACCTAATAGCTGCAAGGGCGTTGCTCTGTGGTCTGTTGTTTCTCATCTGCAGTGTTATGCTGAGCGTCGCCTTCACCGCCGCAGAACTAGTGTCCCCCCTCGATCTGCATATGCAAACATATGTTGTGCAACATCGCACAGTATGTATTGGGCCATTGCTTCGGCTTTGCTGTGTTTGTTCTGTTCTAACAAAACGCTGTTTTTGTTTGCATGCCAGGAACCGGATTAATTGACTTTGCAGGCTCCGGGGTTGTGCACATGACTGGAGGTATATCTGGATTGATAGGCGCGTGGATTGTGGGACCCCGCATTGGACGCTTTGACAACCATGGACGGGTGCGACATTGAGCTGCCTTGTTTTGCAGCTTCGATTGCATTCATCTTCACAGGACAGAACACTGATTTTGAGCCTTCAAGGCGACTTGCTTGCACATCTGCTGCCTCCAAAACATGTCAAGCCATCTGCACAGTTGTTCACATTGTGTTTGATGGTTATCTGAGCAACTTTGCTATTGTGTTGTTGAAAGTTGACCAATTGCAGGGCACACAAATCTGACATCGTCTGATATCCAACCAGGTGCACTATGGTGAAGCATACCTGCAAGAGTTGATCAGATGCAAGGAACACAAATGCAGTGTCCAATACAATGTCAAGTATTGCCTCATGAGTGACATCATGAAGTGTTTGGGGTGCAAAGGTTATGTGATAGTTGTCATCTGCCAAGGTGGATCCAGGATTGTAACAGACAAAGTGTGAAGTACTATTTGGGATCAGAAAGATAGTTTCAGTTATTGGGTGAGACTATTGGGAGAGCTAGCACCCATGGCTGCATGCCTTGCCCCCTCCTCGAGGACCTGCAACATGGTGGCTTCAACTTTCAACTGCCCCCCCATCTTTGGGATGCACTCAGTGTTCACCGCTCCATTCCAAGCAACAGATGTGCTGCCAACGCCCATTGTGTGTCAGGGTTGCATGGCACAAGCATGCATCAAATTTGCATTTGCTGCAGGTGCTTTGGCCGCAGACATTTTGTCTTTGCAACTCCCTGAAGTCATATTAGCTATTGCATAGACATGTTGCCTCCCCATCCTTGCTTTTCCCCACTGACCCAAAGACTCCCAGATCAACTGTTCCATTGGCGGCATAGCAGGGATCATTCCTAACTTGTGGCTCGGCAACATTCAGAAGACCCAGCAGTGCTCTCAGCAACCCATGCGTGTGTGTCCCTGCAGGCACGTGAAATACCTGGCCACTCCGCCTCCCTGGCCCTGCTGGGCATCTTCATCCTGTGGTTCGCATGGTACGGCTTCAACCCCGGCAGCGCGCTGTCCATCGTGGGCGCCTCTGAGGCGGCAGCTCTGAGTGCCATCAACACCACCCTGTCTGCAGCCACGGGCTGCCTGACGACTCTCGCGATCTCCATGGTCATCAGCCACCAGATCACAGGAAATTTGGTGTGGGACGTGATCGGCGCAGGCAATGGAGCCCTGGCTGGGCTGGTGTCGATCACAGGCGCCTGTGCACTGGTGCAGCCATGGGCGGCCTGCGTGATCGGCATCGCTGGGGGATTCATGTATGCGCTGGCATCGAATTTGTTGCTGAATTGGCTCAAGGTGAGCAAAGGTTGTGTTGAGTGTCCTTGAATTGATTTGTGACTGGATGCCATCGTGGATGCCAATATGTCAATTTGCGACTGCAGGTGCGGGCCAGCATCAATATCAGAGGTCACTGTGTCAGGCATGCAGACGTGTGTGGCATTGCACAGTGTGCAAAGATGTGGTTGTCTTGCTGCAGACCAAGCCTGGCAAAAAGTGGAGTGTGTGCCACAGCAGTTGCCAAGAAGGCTTGGTCATGATTTCTGCAGCATCTCCCACCTGCAAGAACCTCTCTCACATGTGCTCTGTCTGGTTGCTGATATCCCTTTGGTACATCTGGACTGAGCCTGAGCTCTCCTGTGCACATTATGCATTATTTTGCATAACAAGAACTGCACCAGACTTCCTGCAACACAGTTGAATGGAGTGCAACGTGCTTTGCTAATTAAATGTGAAGCTTTGTTTTGGAGCTGGGGAGGAAGCAATTTTGGTGCATTTGTTGTGTTGTCTTGGTAGATCGACGATCCTCTAGATGCATTCTCTGTACATGGCGTTTGCGGTGTGTGGGGACTTGTTGCTGCAGGTAAGATGTCATGACTGCAGTGTTATCTCAGAGCATCCGTGGAGTGTACCCCATTGACTATGTTGCATGTTTGTGTACTTTTGTGTTTTATGTGTCAGTTGAACCATTATCCTTACTAGTACCTTTACCGGTACCTTACCCTTACCATGTTGTGCACAGCCAATATGGTTCCTGCTTTGTGATGTGAGGCTGCCTCAAAGCTTCCTATCTCACCTTATGGTTTGCCTACTGTACTTCCAACATGTGTGGATAGCTTTGTTTTGGGCAACTCATTCTCTGGCTACCTTTGCATTTCTTTCATGGAGCCTGTGGTGGCCTGCTAGAAAGTCTCTTATTCCTTGAATGAATGTCACGCTCTTTGGCTCTACATGCCCCCAAGGTTTCAGAGATCATGATGTGCAGACACATTTTCAGCTCATAGACAACTTGGTGTATGTCAATCGTTGGGAAGTCTGTGGCAACTACCCACTGGTGGCGTGTTTGCTGAAAAGGGTCAAACAATGATAACATGAATTTGTTTGTTTGTCTGCAGCTTTGTTTGCAGATGAGAGCCTAATCAACACCAGCTACTACCCTGTCCTTAATGACAATGGCAGTCCGGGGTCAAGAGAATTTGGACTGCTTGTTGGTGGTAATGGACAACTCCTGGCATCTGCGACGGCAGGCATTATGGTCATATCTATATGGATTGCTATTCACATGGTGAGCCCCCAACTAAACTGTCTCTTGAATCTTGGAGAATGCAGATATTGTGCATATTTGTAACTAACCGGAATTTCTGATTACCTCCCATTCAACAACCCCTGACGTCGTTCCAGGACAGTGGGCTTGTCAGCAACATCTGCGCAAAGCTGATCAACCTAGTTGCTTTCCCCGTGGTGCAACATGAAGTCATGCACATCATATGCAGCTGACCATTGTGCCAATGGAAGAATGTTGGGAAGGCACATGTAGCCCCTCGACGCCCGTCAGCTGGCACAGCTATGTTGGGATGTGCCGTCCTTTTGAGCAACGTTGGTCCGTCCCCGTGTAGAGCTTTGTGCATATGGACCCTGCTTGCAGCTTATATCTGAGAAGGCCATTGCAGACTAGTGCAGGCTCTAAATGGGGTTTGGAGTCCAGATGGTGTGGTGCTGACACTGTATAGTCCCACGGGAGTATGCAATCTGTCAGTTGTCGTGCTTTTGACTTGCATGTGATCTGTACACCCAAAGTCAAGCAATGAACAATGTTGTTCATTGAGTTACCTGTCACTTGTCTCAACGATGGCTGGTCCCTGTCATGGTATCCAATATCCCAGAGTAGCAAAATTTTCGTGCATCAGACAACTTCACAAGTGGCAGAAGCCAGGCAGCCACTACATCACATCAAATTTGGCGCAAATTGGCAGTGGGCACCAGATCCAGATACACGATAGTCTGTTTGCACTGATGCAGTGCTGTAATCAGGTCATCTTGTCAGCATCACATTGACATTTGCGGTTTGGAAGTTTGAACATTGCCAGAGCTTATGTCTTGGCTGTGGGGGGTGGGGGGTGGGGGGGTGGGGGGGTCATAAGTGCTGGGTGTGAACGTTGATCCTGTGCTGAAGAAGGGGCCAATTGGCGTCATGTGAATTGCAGCTTCCCGCATTCTGGCTGATGAAGAAGCTCCAAGTGCTGAGGGTGGACCCCTTTGAGGAAATCGAGGGCCTTGACACAGTCCACCGCAAAGATCCTGTGTACCACAGGGAGTTGAAAAAGTCCCCGTTCGATGTGATCTCCACAGCTGAGGCATCAGCCCATGCAAAGGAATCTGAAGCCTCAAGCCACGGCAAAGTGGTCGAGTAAGTTTCCGTTTCCATGCTGTTGTCTCAATCGATCCATCAGTAGTTCTTTGCGTGTGCTTGTGAACCAATTGACTGGCAAATCGATTATCACTCATTCATGAACGTGACTGAACTGCTGAATCATTGCCGTTTTGCCACTCACTTGAAGTTTCACAATCTGTGGCTGCAGCGCCAGCAGTGCTTTGGTAGACGACCAAAAAACCATGAAAGAGAAACAGGGGCAAGCCTCACCAACGGCGGAATTCGTCAACTGCATGTGTCTCCATTTCATACTGTGTTTGTCATTTCTTGCAAATCCATGCATAATTTTGCGCTGTGGTCTGGGCGCAAGCGAAACTGAACCAACTGTGGATTGGAATGACTGCTCAACGATATGTAGAAGTGCACACAGGCAACATGCGCGAAGATCGGCATGCTCCTTACGGTGCTGTGGCTTTGCCGCTCTCCAGGGAAATACTCAATGACCTGGAGATGATGAAGGGGCAGATACACCGCGTGTTTGAGATGCAACAGCTAGGCAGCAGGGAGCTCACCAGCAGGGAACACACGCCTCGCAGTGGCCGATGGCGATCGTGAAGTGATGAAGTGCCGGGCAAATGCACGACTGTTGCAATTTCACAATGCTAGATCTGTAGTATGAATGGATGTTGATGGCTTTGGGCGGACTACCCCTTGGAAGTGCCACATATGAGGGTTGTGGGGACGAACGTTGCCAGGGTCAGGGGTTCCTGAAGCTGCTGACCGCCGACAATAAAGAGACGTACGGGCCCTAATGTCTGAGAGAATGGGTCCCATGGGGCTTCGGCTCGAATGCCCGGAAATTGACTGTGGTGAGCGCTGTGTGGCAGGGGGTGTGGCAGGGTTTGTAATTTATCCGGAGTGGTTGAAGGGGGAAGGGGGGTCTGTAAAATGGTGCATTGTTGTTGGCGATTACTGTAGCTGGAGGTAGGGAGATAGGACTTCAGCCAAACTTGATGTGGTATCGTAGGAGATCGATACACCTGGGAATTGGTTTGTTAGCCAACGAACATGGGGCACTTGGTTGTAGGAGAGTTTTGGCGTTCCAATTGCATTTCATGAAATGATCAGATTGCACACCTGGTGACTGCACTTCAGGGAAGGGCCTGCAGAGAATGGGCATTTGCGCATTCTGAGGTTTGGGTCCTTGGCGGGGTGGGTGCAGACTATGTGCAGAGGCAGCACACCTGCGGTCAACATTGTCGCGGCATTTTGTTCCCTGTTGCGGGTGTGGAAGGGAATTTGCTGTGCGAAAAGGGCGATGCCCAAACACGAGACGTTGGAGAGCGGTTGCGAAATAACTTGGGCAAATGTTGCGACTTGATATTTGCATTGTGGACTTCTGCTGTGTGACCGCCCAGTGATGCGGAGAATTGTGTTCCGAGTTGCTACTGCTAGGGCCTGGAAAGGTGCTGCAGATGTGGGAGAACCGCCTGTCTGGGATTCAGTGATCCCAGCCGCTTCAGTGTGTGGCAATCCAGCGCTATTGGCATCTTCAAACAACTATGAGCATGCTGTGCTGCGGCTCATAGAGCTGCAGCTCTTAAAGGCCGAATGGAATGCCAACACAACGCAAACGTGTTTCAATGGTAGCGCTGACGATGTACTGTCTGTATCCAAACGTGTTGCTTTCGACGGTACCGATGAAGCGAGGTTTTGCCTTGACAAAACCTTCATCCGGTAAAGAGCGGGGTTTTATCTTTTTCCCTCGCTTATTGTGTTGGCATGGAAGTAAACCCCTCCCGTAAAAAGATGAATCCTGCCCTTCAAACGGATGAACTTGGCACCCCCCCCCCCACCCCCACCCCACCCCACCCCCACCCCCACCCCCACCCACCCCCACCCCCCACCCCCACCCCAACCAATGTAGGTCACACCATTGCCGGCGCACGTGCTACCCGCAGTGTCCGGGGAACTGGCCCATGATCAGCGCGCCGTGATGGGCACCCAGTTTCTGGCGGGGTTGTGCCGGGGCGGCAACGTTGGCCCACAACTTAGCAAAGTGGAAAGGACGCGAAAGGCAGAAGGCGCCACCTCGCAAAGGGCGCCAGATCTGGACCGTGGATGTCAATCGGAACTGAATCCCACGATGAGCACCACCGACAGCCACGTCGCGGACAAGCGTCCATCCGCTTCAAAACGCACCAGCTGGAATGGAAGAAGGCGCTCAACTTCGCCACCGTGCAGAAATGCAGCCGTGCAGAAACCTGGGTGCCAGAGTCGCCGAGGGTGACTGCTTGGCCGTCTCAGCGTCAGTCGGGCCCCTCCAGTTTGAGCCGGAGAACGGCAACCGCCGCCGTGGCTTGTCGTGGTTGACCGCGGTTGGCGACTGGCCCGCTTCACCAGGGACCCGGGTGGTGGAAGACCTTAAACGCGCTCCTGTGCCTAGGACCTACATTGGGTGGACTGGGGCCAACATTCATTCTTTTACGGGAGGGGCTTAAATTTTCCCGAGCTGGATTCGCCTTCCGTTGTGCTTCCGCCCGCGGCCCACCGGAGGCCCGCGCCACACGCCTGAACCCGGTGAGATCAGCTGCCAGCGTTTGGGGGCTTCAGTTGCCCGTGCCCTGCCA